GAACGAAGTGCTGTATGGCTCGATTTTTTTCGCTATCCTGTTTGTTATTTTTTTTTCTTCTCCCGTTTGTTTATCGTCCATTCGATCTATGATGTTGCCAAGTCTCTCAATTCGAATCGTTCGTTTCTCCGGCACCGCTGAATTTGATATCGAGTTAAATTTTTTTTAATATCCTCCTTTGTCTTATTTGGGGCTATTTTTCTTCTTGTCGTTGGTTGTTTTTTATTTGTTCGTATGAATTTTTCTATGGCTGTCACTGGCAATGCCATCGACTACCACCGTTTCATTTTTAATATATGCGTGACGCTTAGTTGGTCTCTGTAATTTTAAGCTACGAACACAAAGTAAAAAAACCCACCGAAATAAGTGAAATACAATATTTCACTAGCGCATACGATAAAAAAGAATAAAAATTACAATGTGAGAATACAATGTGGTGCTCTTAACAACCCGCCTTCGATTTCGATTCGATTTTTTTTCATTGCGTGGCAACAAATGGACTTCTTTATTAATGGCTACCCTCTATATGTACTGAAAACACATTTAAAAAGTATATTTTTTCTCGTTTTATTTAAAATCGCCTTTAAATGCATTTGAAGGTATTGTACGTATTTATCCTCAATTTGTTACAGCTGAAAAAAGGTGGTGGTACACACGCTTTTTATTGCTCAGAAATTGCAAAATGGTGTTTCCATCGTTGCCGACAGTTTTTCAACTTTTAACGTGAAGCTTCACATTTATTGTATTCACATCTTTTTCAAACTCTCGTTCGCCCACTCTTCTCTCTTTAGTGAAACACTAAGAAAATAAATATTTAATTGAATCTCCAATTAAATTTGGCATCCTCACAAAGTAGCTCGTTTATCGGCAGATTATTCGTTATAATGTAATAATAAATTTATTTCTGGAAAATCCATTTAGCAAAAGCTTTATTTTCATAATCGGTTTCATTTAAAAATGAAAACTAAAATCGTCAAAGAAAATAATCGTCTATTTTTATATTTCAATTTCTTACAATCATCAAACGGGCGTTAATGACTCTATTTTTAAAATCGACACGAAATTGTCATTTGCATAGGTGCAATAAAAAGAGAGCAGCATTAAGGTGTCGTAACTTGTGTCTTATACTTTTTTTTTTAATTTTTTTTATTTGTAAACGCGTTTCTAAAACCGGTCGAATCGTTGATCGTTTCATTGAACAAAGCAAAACAACAGCAAAAACAATCTGTTTGATAGAGTTCGGGCTACTGAATGAAATTCTTAAAATTCAAGAGACGAAAAGTCTCTCTTGGCGCATGTACGTATAAAAAACGCCGTAAAAAATTGAGTGCCAAATAAAAAAAAAATCAAGTTCAAATAATGGGAGACACGTACAAAGCAAAAAGTCCGCTTAAAAAAATGTAAACATTGTTCACACACACTCCACACTCTATTAGTACGAAAGAAAAAAAAAACACAGACAAATAAGAGAAAAAAACCAAACAAAAAAAGAGGCAAAGAATCATGGCAAAAAAAATGTGACGAAGAAAAAAAACCGTTGAAATAAATAGGAGCGGCAGAAAAATACGCACACTTGGATTCCTAATGAAAAAAAAAAAAACTACACACACACAATTTCCCACAGACGTTAATCGGTATGCCGCATGCAATGGCACTTTGTTGCATTTTCGGCATTCGTAGTCTGTGGGTAGAGTGTGAGCATCGGAGGAATTCCAATTGTTTTCGCCAATTACTATTTATTGTGCGGCCGAACACACACACAGAAAGGTGAAGAAGTATGTCCACTGTCCAGGATGATGATGATGATGACGATTGGAATCAAAATGAAACAAAAAAAAACATAAACATAAAAAACGCAAAGCGAAGAATCAATTTGAAAAATTGCCTACAAAATTGAAATAGACGTGTTCACCACATGAAATAAAAACAATGCGCCAGACTCTCTGAGCCGCAAATAAATAATATGAGCTGTATCTAGAAAAGACAAAAAAAAATCAATGAGTTACGCTTTAAAATCGAGAAAGCGACAGTTTTTCATCGTCGTTGTGCTCATGTTTACGCATGTTTTTCATCTTCGGTTCGCTTGTTGTCTTTTCGATTTATGTTTATTCCGAAGACGGTCGTTGGCATCAGATAGAAAGAGAGAAAAAAACGTCAATAAAATATTAATGTTTATTTAAATAAAACAGAGGACAACATAAAAAACACGACCAGTGCCAGCTCAGAGCAAGGCATAACGAGCTCAGACATCGAGCATGTATGTACTAAAAAAAGAAGAGATTCGTAAGAACGAAAAAATGCCTCCAAACAGCAAACAGCTTCTGTGTACATCAAATGCAAAAGATGGTAAAATAAAACAACGTCGCAGTGGTCCGTAGTATTATACAACGAGAGCAGTCAAAAAGAATGTTTGTATTTTTCAACTTTTTTCTACAATTCACTGCAGTGCGTTTGTCTTAATGTGCTCTTTATCTGATAAAATGTCTTTTCCTCCTCTATAAAAAAAATCTATCCCTCTCTTGAGATAAAATAAAAAATCCATCGTCTTCCATCTCATATTCGACTGAATGTGTCAGTGTGAAGAAGTAAGTTTCAATCGTAAGCGAATTACCGATTGTAATTGTGCACGTATCATGTCTGGAAAAAAATTCTACTACTTCTGGCAGGGAAAAAAGGAGAAATCGACCGATATTTCCCTCTCTCCACTGAGCAACATAAAAAAAGAGAACAAATGCGGTGACGAAACAGGACAAAGACTGTAGCGAGAGCAGCAAAAAATTCATTCAAATTGGAATAGATTCAAGTCATACGAAAAAAAGAGTGAACTAAATCATCAACCATATGATTCAGAACGAGAAATACGGAGTGGCGCTCATCCTAAACCAATACACACAAATACAGCTCGCATGGATGTGTATTGACGAATAAAAAAGTGCCGTCGCATTCTAAGACTCAGCACATCTCTTTCCGTTTCTTCAAACGACATGTGTTCGATCCAATTTTTTTTCTCATTCACCGTGCAATAGTCGTTCATTTTTTTCTCCGCTTTTTTTTCCATACCAATCAACATACAATTGAACCATTTTTTTGTTTCTCATCACTTTGGTTTATCGCTTGTATTTGTAGTGCACGCGCACATGATTCTCATTCAGATTTTTAGGCGTTTTTTTATCACACTCCTCAACCGGCAATGATTCTCAAACAAAGCGTTTGTTTGAAAAGCAATGACAAAAAGTGCCAAAATTCAACATTACATCAGAATCAAAAACACATCACACATTCGTTGCAATGTTCTGAGCTGTTTCGTTTACGAACCGAACAAAAAAATCGTCGATTTTTCACTCGCCACTTGTTACATGTTCTGCCGGCGAATGAGAAACGAACAGAGGGAAAAAGATGTGATCTCTCTTGTTGTGAATTTGCAATTTAAGTTTATCAAATCAAAGAGCAATCTGCGCTAATTGTATCGCTGAATTGTTGATCACATGTATGCGTGTGGATAGTAGTGCGCGCAATGTAGCCACAAAACATGTTTATGATGATTCCGGTGTAAAAGAGAGCGAAAGAAAGAGAGAAGCACGTCGATCAAAAAAAAATAATATAAAAAAAATCTATGGGTCGAAATGCGATAAACGGTTTCGAATTGAAAATTTGAGTGAAAGAGTGAGACCGTGCGTCCGATTCGAGAGAAGGAAAAAAAAATAACAGGGGAAAAATGCTTTGCGATATACATTTTTTGATGAATTGGTATCAGTTTTTGTGTGTGCATTCAACGGTGTATGTGTGGTTCACTAAGAGCGAGAGTTTAAAAAAGTGCACATAGACTACAAAGCAATTCGATGCACAGCCACACCACACTGATTACGTTATATTGCATGAAGAGGGAAAAAAATACCCATACAGAAAAAAAGCATGATCAGCCTAAAGAAAAAGTGTAATTGTGTAAGTGTGCCGAAGCAAAAACGATTCAATGAATTTAATATTTGGTATTTTTTGTCTCTGTTTGGCGTGCGGTAGACAATGATCTATATACATTGGTATTGGTAAACGTTCTCTGTCTGGTGTGCAATGTAAAGCGGTCGACGATTCTCTCTCGTTCACTGTGTCACACGCACACATCGACACCAAAACGTTTTTTTTCTCTGTCTATCATGTTTTGCATACATCTACTGCACACATGCTGTGCCACATGAACCTTCTCTCCAGTGTCACTGCTAAGCGATATGCAGCAATGGACTGTACAAAAAAATATCACCATCTCGTTTTGGCGCACATTCAACTTCAATCGTTGCGTCACACTCTTCCGATTCGAGCATGGTTTTTATGTGTATGAATTGTGTGCCGTACATATCGTTGTAGCGGATTTTGTTTTTCTATATGTGTATGTGTGAACGCTGTACGTCGAGTGTTGTGTGTACGATTGTACAACATTGTACAATCGTTGAATGTAAGCCGCTCTCTGCTCCGACTGTGTGTCAATGTGTATAAGTTTTTTTCTGTCTCTCATAAAAACTCTTGAATACATATCGTAGTATTTTTTTCAGTCTACACATATGCATATACTCACCCGATAGGGAGAGAAAAGAGAGAAAAAAAACCGACGACAGCCACACGACAAACAACAGTAGCAGCACACGAACACCACACACACCGAAACAGACATAGAGTGAGACACGTACAGAAAAAAAACCTTTCGAGGACCAAAAACAATTTTTTCTTAAACCAGTCGAGTTTTTGCTTCGTAATGATTAACACATTATTCGATGCGAGCAAATTTTTTTTCCTTCCCGTTGGTATATCTTTGGATTTTGATTCGATTGTTCGTTTCACCGCACTCTATTCAATGAATCGGTGGTAGTTCAATCAACGTACAGATACAAATTATTATTATTTTTTTGAATTGTGTGTAATATAAAAAAAATTAAAATAAAAAAAAATTAAAATTGGCGCCAAAATTAATTATAAAAATAAAAACAAATAATTTTTTTTGCTGTGTTTAAACATCGATGAAATAAATAAATCGACGCATTGTGATGAATAAATTGAATAATACATTGTGGTGTTTTGAATAAAAAAAATCAAAATACTTTAGCATTTAATAATTGTAACACAATTAAGCCGGACACAAATCGTAACAATTTGTTTGAATGTGAACGAAGAAAAAAAAACATTTTTTTCCGCCAAATAAAAAAAAGTGAATTAGCGGTGATCACAACATAAACTTGAACAGTGGCGCGAATAGATATTCGCGAGCAAAAAACATTCATATTTTTATGTGCGTTCAGCGAGAAACCGAGAGCAGAAACAAAAAAAAAACTGAAAATTTCACAATAAAAAAAGAACAACTGGCGAGGTTATCTTATGAGGCGCGTCTATAATTTTTTTTCTGGTCGCGTCTAAAAATATCCGCGTTTCTATGAATCGACATTAGCAGCGGTGGCTTAACAGCGTGCACGAATATATAACAAAAAATCATTGACTAAGATTTCATTTTCTCGACCAACATTTTTTTTAAAAGCATTCCTTTTGCTCATTCTGAAGATTGATATGAAATGTTTATATACCTGCAAATTGTTTCTATTTTGAAATAAGTGCACCAAATTTTTCCTCGTCAAACAAAAAAATATTTTTGAAATTAGTTCGGTTCACGCAAATTCATCGAATGACTTTTGAAGTACTTTTTATATAAAACGAAAAAGAAACATTTTATTCGCTCATTGATTATTCCGAATGGTCGAATTTTACGCTCATTAATTGTGCAAAACATTCTTGAAAACTATTTTATTTTATTTTATTTTATTTGGTGCGTGTTATAAACTCCATTGTTTGAGAGAACTTGATAAAGAAAGCAACAAAAAAAAATCGTGTGACATTCGATAGAACTTTTTTTTTCATACAAAAGAAATAAACACATGATATAGAGTGCCTTTTCATCTGAACTATATCCGAACACATATTTTTTTCGGATTTCATGAACAATAACTGAATCACGTGTTAATTACCGTCAAATGGTAAGAATAATCGCGAAAAAGTGACAATATTTTGGAGCGATTTTTATTTTGTCCGGTGATAAATCTTAAATCTTTTGAACAAAATTCGAGTGAAGCGAAAGCAACGCGCAAAGAAAAAAAGCAAACAAACCGAGAACAAACGATTTTTGAAAGAGTTTTAGTTGGTCGTTAAACTGGAGGGTCGTACAATTGAATATAAGCCGCCCGGTTTTGGGCTCGATCATCATCATAGCTCACCTCTGATGGCGGAAATACCTGGAGACTACAGTCACATCCATCGATCGATCGATCAGCTGCGTTCGATGAACGAACGTGGCGTTCTACAATTGGGAACGATGGGCACCGACATTCGTGCATCATTGATGCACGACTATAAACCATTTATTAGCGATTTACGAAATCATGGAATTGATCGGTTGGACTACAATAAATTGGCAAATGGCATCGATTTAGTTGGACGCGTCAACAATGATGTGAACAACAGTAATAACAATAACAACAATAATAATAACAACACAAATGCACGAAACAATGTTGACATTGGACGACACGACCAACATCAATCTCATCAACAAGATCAAAAAGCATACAGCTCACCATCGACACCGCCAACACCGCTCTCAAACAATGATGCACAAATGACTGAAACTAAGGTAAATATTTGATTTTCAACCGAACTTTTTCTTCTATTTAGATTCTTAAATTTTTGTTTGTTTGTTTTTTTGTCCATTTTTTTTCTTTTCTAAAAGTGACATTTATTTACAAGTGTTAATTAAAGAAGTATTTCACAATAAAAGAGAAAAAATCCATTTCGAATCATGTCATATTTGCATCGAAACGTCTTCTATTTGTTCTGGATCCATTTTTTGGAACATACATACACAAGATAAATAAGTATTCAGCGTACGTGCATCAACTTCAAAATATTAATATTAATCGCCCGATAGAATATCCGAAGAAAATATTACGAAAAAAAGTAAATGATGTTAGTAAATTAAATATAAATCGAGCGCTTCGATCCAAAAATACCGTGATTCAGTATGCTCATCTGGAATGTTGCCTTAGTCGAGAGATTTCTGCAGGCACGTCTTAAACAAGAAAAGTGGAAATTTATTTCATCTTCATCATCATTACATTATCTCCTTGTCACCGTCGATTTTCCTTCTTTTAATGCGGCTCTTACTACCGAAGAAAATCCATATTTTCTCTTCATTTTGCTACATTTCGATTTTCGTTTTTTTAAAAGTACCCAATCGATGTACGGTGTGGCGCATTTACCCCGTCGACAACGCTTTTTTTCTCATAACATTTTTCTCTTGATAGCACTTTTCTGCTATTTGTTATTGTTGTTGCTATGTAATTCTCCTTTCGAAATATATATAACTTAAATTTCCTTCGTTTAAAGTGCCTATCACAAGAGTCTTGAAAACAGTGCCTTAGCATATTGGCTCTCATATCAATTTCGGGCTCTGTTTGCGGCAGCGACGGCAAATACGACGACGTCTTATGTTCATATTTTATGAATTTCTTCAAAACGATTTTTTTCGCTTTAGTCCCTCTCTCTCTCTCTCTCTGGGTTACGTTGTCTATCATGTTTAAGGCATAAAATGTGTGTGGTATATAATTTTGTGTCATCGGTAAATTCGCGCATTTGATATTTTGCTATTTGATAAACGATATATTGTTCCTTCTCCCTCTGTCTTTATTGTGGTCGTTGGTACACTTTTCGACAATAGCAACACGAAAAAAGTCGTTTTCTTCCGCACTTGTACATATACGCCAACCAAAAATCATTTTTTCTTACTCGGTTCGTTCAAGCTTAGAAGTAGCAGAACAACAACAAATGCAGGCAATAGACAGCAGCAATGACGACGGCGAAGGAGACGGTGGCAACAACACAATTCAATATATACATGCAATGGGTTCATTCTGCTTATAAACGCTCCGTCATGAATCGAAATCGAAAATTCTTCGTGTCTCTCTGTAGTACACATTGCCATCACAAGTAGATTGAATGTTTGTGTGTGCGAGCGTCATTTATTCTAACTGCTATGTATGTTTGTTGCGGCAACGACAACCAATTCGACTGTGATACGGTCGTCGTCACCGTCTCCAAGTGCGGCGCGATCATAACATGTACATATTCAAGTGTATAGCTCATACAATGCTTGCAAGTACACATTTTTTCTCTATCCATGTATAAGAAAATCGAGAGTTTTTGAGTTAAACGACTAAGACGACGACGATGAACGATGAAAAAAATATGTATACCTATTTTATGAAATTCTACCTCATTTATTTATTGTGAAGTTTATGTTGATGCGTTTCCATCGTGTATGAGCGAGCGCATATATATTTTTCTTGTTCATTCTTCAATTTTGCTCGCTGGCATATGATGTCTGATCACTTTTGTACACCAAATTTGATTTGATACAGTGATGATTTCTTCACAAAATCTACCTCGAAGGCTATACATTCTTGTTCATGCATCTTTGAATCGTTCAAAGTAGTTGTTTATATATCCATGCACTGTTCCAACGCTACAATTATTTTTGATAAAAGTCGATTCAGTTGGGCGTTTTACTTCCATATTTTAAAATGTTTTCTAGACGAATTTACTGTGTTAAGCCGTTCTTTGCTTCTTAACCGTGTGCGAGTGATTTAGTTTTTCATTTTACTCCATTTGTACGTGTGTGTATAGGTGTGTATGTGCATTGTTCAAACCATACATACAGGTATTACTGTTTACTAAAATAATCACGTTTTTACATCGGTAGTTGGTTGAACGAAAAAGAAAAATAAAATAAAAAAATAATAAACGGCAAGCCAAACATCGCTCGCGCACAACTACCATCATCCATTGCATAAAGATAGTTACATATACACGAAAATCCAATGAACATTGTACTGTACAGCTCAGCAAATGAGAACAAAAAGAACTCGTTTATGCACTGCTGCAATTTCCAACAAACAACTCTATCGACTTACGAAAAATTGTGATGAATCGACAGCAAACAGGCCTCGCACTCACAAACGAAACAAAAACAACAAACGACGTCGACGATAAAAGTCCATTTAAGTGGACGGCGTCTAGTGGTCATATGGTGTAATTTACTTGATTTAACAAGAAATAAAAATGTTTGCCCGACTAAAGCGATTGTGCGACCAACAAATTAATTCTCAACAAGTTTTTGAAGCTTATACGAAAGCGAATATCTTCACCAAAAAATTTCATTTGAAGATGCATAGCCGAGCCAAAATTGTAATCACAAAAATGCTCATCTACCAAGCTTTCGTTTGAGAAAATGACGAACAAAAAAAAACACCGTACTGAATTTTAATAAACAAAATTCAAGTTGGATGCTTTCTCGCATTCATTTATGACATTCTCCGAATGCTAAATTCAATAGTGAATTTGGGCTGAGAAACACATCACACACATTTCATTTTTTTATATGTATGAAATTGTGCAATTTTTGCGCGCGCTTCATGACATCGTACGCGTAGAGAGCAAGCGAGAGCGACAGACTCAAATTTGAGAGAGTTTATTTGTTCCATTGAAATGTTTGTTTGCGTTTTCGTACGAAGCGACGATGTATCCGAGAGAAGAAGAAAAAATGGCTGTGTGTGTATGTGTGTGTGCTAAAAGTGCCTCTTGAGCATTTCATATTATTGCTTTACATACGTGCAAATAAAACTCGACAAGAACCAAAAAAATGTTTGGCTGCCTCGAACGACGCAGCAGCAGCAATAGTAACAACGATTCGCCGTATTTTCTTGTAACTTTGCCACAAAGCTGTTGGCTTCGACTGCTTTGCTTGCTTGCGATGGCAAACGAGAGTCTCGATTTTAAACTGCGATTTCTTGAATTGCATGTGTTAAAGTGTGCACAAACACAAAACATTCATACGCGATTATATGTCGGAGGCGCTTTCAGACTTCGTGTATTATTCCGATTCTCGTTTTCGTTTTATTACATATATTTTTTTTCTTCGTTTTGTTGGTGTGTTGTAATCGGCAAAGTCGTGTGTATGTTGTTTTTTTTCTGCTTCTTCTCCAGTTTTTCGTTTGAATTGAAAGAAAAAAAAATTCGACATCTGCAACACACGCAAAACACGAAGCTGTCGATGAAGAAGTTGAATAAAAGTGTTCAATTTTTAGTGCTATGTGCGCGCGGATATGGCAAAATGCAAGAACAAGAAAACATACTAACGTGCGCACGTTTCATTCGTCCACGAAAAAAAAAGAATCATATTCACAAGCAAATTGCAAACATTCATTTTTTCGGCTTGATTCTTCAACTTTATTATGCGAAACACGAAAATATCCAATTTTGGTGAAGAGCACACGAAACTTTGTCATTCGCATCCATATATATTTCTTTTTCTCTCGTGCATTATTCTGAATCACTTTTGGGATTTCTGCTCTAACAGAAACAATTTCGGCTCTGTTTTGATCGTTTTTCACGAATATATCACGTGTTATTTATCAATTTTTTGAGAAAAACCAGTCATTATGAAGACAGTTTCAGTTTGTATCTGGTGACGAACTTAGACTGACTAATTGCTTCTGCAAAAAGTCAGTAGAAACACGATGATAGACTCCAAAAACGATTCCATTATTGGCCATACATTCTTTCTTACTCTATGTTATTTTCAGTGTTTTTACGCTTGTACCATGTTTTCAGCTGCTATTTTATCTGCAACTATCGATCTCCGTCACTCGCACTAGCTAGAATAATTCAAAGAATTTAATTCGCAGAAATTTTGCATTTTGTTTGTGTGTGTACGCGCGCTTGACTCAATTAATTTTCCAAAGTGTTATCAATCGATGGGAATATTAATTTACATCCGTGATCGACTTGAATTAACATCGCATCGCATTTATTTTAAACTCTTTATGTAAAAACCATCAATTTTATATGCTTTTTTTGCTGTCTCTTTTCTCTATGGAATATATCCCAAATGAATATATGGTTGAGATAATAGTTTTGCGCATATAATATACGATTCACTTTTTGGGAGAATGAAAACTTTCTGGGCAGCAGTAGAAAAAAAATAAGCTGTTGCTAGCTTGGTCACATGTGACAGAACAAAATAAAGAGCGGTAATATTTTTGTGTTCAATGTGTTTCTTTTTCCTCATGAAACACCATATTTTTTGTCATGTTGTTTCTCTCTCTCTCTCTCAGTTGTTGTATTTATTTGGTCTGTTTTGTGCTTTTGTGTTTTGCCGAAGCCTGGCACAAAGTGTCAGCCTCAATTAATTTACAAACTCAAACAATTCGAACTCTGTGCAAATAAAATGTGAATTTTTGTGTTACTTGTCATTATTTGATTAAAAAGCGAGAAAAAAAAAAACAACATAAGCACGAACATGAAGCACGAACACTCTCAATAGTACATGAGTTATTGTGTGTGGTACAGAGACGAAGAGGAAAAAAAACACAACAACATGCACCGTGATGTGTGTAATATTTTGTATGAAATGTGAACAACTTTATTACATAAATAGACGAAAAAAAATTCCGTTTACACTTGCGGCGGTAAAGTGGCGTGACACATTGAATGAGCGAGTTTTGTGCCGGCGGAAATCGAATTCCGAATAAAATCAACAAACAATCTGATGACGAAACAATTAATTGTTTTACAATT